TGGGCTCATTTGCTATCGCTATTCTTTATTTTCTGTAGCCGTTTTAAGAATCTGCGAGGATCTTTTTTCTCTGGCTTTTGGAAATGCTGCTTTGGCCCTCAGGGCTTGGGAGAGGGAAGCAACACAGGGCACCTGCTCCTGTTGGCGGAGTGACATCAGAGCAGGAGGGCAGCTCGGCCCCGCTCGGCGTGGGAGAAGTCCTTCCTCTTTCCTCAGACAGGCCAGCGCCCCTTCTGTCCCGAGGGCAACCATGTCTGGAAAGAAAAGCCGCAGAAGAGGAACCTCTCGATGGGCTGCTGGGGGAGGTGGTGGAGGCAGAGTCCCCCACGTAATGTCCTGGTCTGATACTGTAATGGAAAGCCGCCCAGGACTCCCCACTCTCACAGCCAGCTAGGCTAAAATGCGGACCAGTAGCTCCCCGCCCCCAAAACCCTGGACCAGACACCAGATTCTACAGACAACTCGAGCCTTGGGAATAAATATGCATTTATTAAAAGGATAAAATACAGGGGTTGGAGGGTGCTAAAAAGGAATACACAGGGTAAAGGAGGTGAGGGAAAAGGAAGGGGATTTGAAGAGCAGCAACAGTGCAGATTACAGCCACCCAAAAGACCCAGCTCCCAGGCCTTGTTGGCCCCCTTCGGACAGAAAATAAGGCTCAGCCTAGACTCAGGTGCATGCACAGATACTATACCCTGCACAGGCACCGGCAGCGTAAGATTGCACAGCATTCTTCAGCATGGAGTATGGCAAGAAAAGCGGAACCTCTCCCGGGAGAACCCTGAGCCCCTTCAGTCCCTCGGCGTTTTGCCCCTTAACCCAGGTCAATTGACCCGGAAAGTGATCAGATCCATGATGGATCTCAGACACAGGCCACGTGCCCTTCTTGATGCAATCCCTTGCCCTTGTGCCTAAATCTGTCCTTGTGTGTAGCTTACAGTCTCTCTCCTGCCTGCATTCCAAGGGCGTAGCCTCTCCTCCCCGACTTTGGGGCCAGCGTCCCACAGGACGAACACCTGGCTACTTTAACATGTTACGCCTCTGTCAGTTATCCCTTCCCTGCCCTGCTGAGCCAGGAACCAGATCACGTTGCAGATACTCTGCACCGTCTCAAAGCTGAGGGTGGGGGTGTGCCCTGCTCTCCTGTCACATTTTGGGCAGCTCTCCACTTTCCTACTCGAGGAACAGCCTCGTCAGGGAAAAGAAACAATGGCCTACAACTCCCAGCATTCCCCAGAAGCAAAGGAGCCGCGAGACTTGTTTTCTGTCTAAAATCCACGTGGGGCGGCCTCCGTGGTAAATATTTCCCTTAGTACAGGCTCTACGGCTCACCGATTGGCTGAAGGGGGCGCCGCGTTTATTGATTGGACGTGTCGGGGTGGGGGGACTTCAGCAGTCGTTCGAAAAGAGAACGTTGTTTCTCACGGAGGTAGCCCTGAATGGAACGGGGGTCACGTGACTGAATCGCCGCTTCCGACTGCCCCGTGGAGGAAGAGCGTCTGAAAGAGCAGCCTGAAAAGCGTGGCCAGGGAAACGGCCACCGATGTGCCCCTTCTCCGCAGGGCTCCGGCCGGTGAGGAGGGCGCGCGCGCGCGCGCTGCTTCTGATTCTCTGCAAAGAGAGGGAAAGTAAAAAGGGATACCCTGTGTTTCCAGCTGTCTTCACTCTCCTACAGGTCTGTCTGCCTGTCTCATCTCCCTTGCCCTCAGCTTTCAGGGGGTCATCCACCTGACTTGGCACCTTGCAGCCTCATGTCTTTTCCTGGAATCAGGTAGCAGGTGGATGAGACTGAATACAGGAGAGCGTATCCCAGAAATACTGGGCTCCGCCAGAGCTGTTTACCAATGTTGGCCATGGCTTTCCAAGCACTCAGGCTAAGTAGTACCATAAACTGTATTTCATGAGTTTTAGAAAATGAAGGGTAAGTTTTTTAACAAGATTTTTCATTTTCATTCCTACAAAAGCAGTAAGCCCTAGACTTTGGGGACCCAGACATAAGATGGGGGGTACTTCACGGGGATCCATCATCCCCTCTTCCATGGTCACCCACTGCTGCTCCTCACATTTTCACTCTTGATTTTGAGGATCCTCCATTTTCTGGATCCAGACAAGACATCTTCAGAGGGGACGGGGGCTTCTTTCATTGGGGACGATCACCCCTCACCACAGCTCCCCCTCCCCCTCCCCCTTGCTGCCTCCACTATCTTGCTGCCGTTTCACCATTGCCACTCCCTTTCCCACCACCCACCCCACTTCAGGGCCAGAGGTCCAGGGATCTCTTGATGGAGGGCCCAAAGCTGAGATGGGGCTTTGGCAGGTGCCCCACCACTTGGACCCTGCTGCTATTCGAGAACTTCTGGGAGGAAAGGCTCATCTGAGGCTTTCACAATGGGCAGCTTCCAAAGATTTTTTTAAATGAATTTATCCAATGTGAGGAGCACTTTGTAATGTCCAAAGCATTTAAAGGGATTTAACACTCGGCTCTTCAGGCAAGCTTGTGTTCTCATTCTCCTTATTTAGGCAAGACTTTTCACTAGCCGAAAGAAACCATCTTGTGACATTAAAAGCTTCCTCAACACTGTTCCAGAGCCATGCTGGCGACTCCTTGCTGCTGCCTTCCATAACCTGTGGCACAAATTTATCCAATCAATGTGGGCAGGGGTAGCTGAAGTCCCTTGTTATTACAACCCTCCCTTTTTGGGGGGTGGGGGCTCCCTGATTTCCTTTTCAATTTTGATCACCTTCAGCATTCTGGTTAGGAG